GGGAGGAGGAGGGAGGTCATCTTAAATTTAAGGTCACTTGTATTCAGGCAAATATGGTATCATATGGTGGTTAGCACTTTAATGGGAAGAGAATCAAGGCTCTGCCAGTTACTGCCTTCCCTTGGTCATTTTGTACCTATCTCTCTAGAGGCTGCTTTCCCTATGATGCAGGCTGCTAATGTAAACAAATAGAAAGACTGTTTTGTGTACTATTGGGGAAATAAGGCAAGCCATCATCTTGTTCTCAAGCTTCATGCTGTCCAGGACTGGGACTCGCTAGGCAAAGGTGTTAATAGGTCTCTGGTTATGTTCTGGTTCTTCTGTAATACATATAACAATAATTCACTAGCTTTGCAGAATTGGACAAAAGACTAGTGAAAATGAGGTTGGTCTTGTGTTATAGGAAAATGCAGAGCAGAGAACTGATGCAGTGTTTACCTCCCTTATAGGCTGCTGAAGCCAACGTCATTATAGTTCTTCATTAGCTATGGATTCTCAAGAACACATAGGGATTAATTTATTTCTAAAAGATTGTTTCACACTGCTTCTGTTTTAGCAGCTGTAAGTTCTCTCATTTCAAAATTCTCATTCTTGAAAGCCTGGAGTTTGAGTGGTAAGAGCTCTGATTTTTTTTTTTTTTTTTTAAGATACACCTACTTTCATAGTTAACGAGAGATTTCCGTTTTTTAACACCAACACCTGTGCTCAGTTCTTTCATGACACCAGTTGCTTTCCTCTGTTCTCTCATTAGATGCTTGGGGCTATTGAAAAGATCACCTTGTTCAGTCACTCTTTCTACCTCTCCACATTTGACACCTGGTATTCTCCTGTCTCAGTACTTCTCTGGCAGCTCTTTAAACCCTCTGTCTATTGAAGTGTGTTAAAAAAAAATGTGGACTTGATATTTGTAGCTGCCCTTTCTACACATCTTTTCACCTTTTCTTTTCCTTTCCTCTTCCGTCACCTATCTCTCTGGGCCATCCTTATGCTTGGATGCATACTTTGTCCAACTGGAACTTTGATCTTTATCATCAATAGAGTCCCATCTGCCAATTGTATTTCATTATCTTTCATGTTTCCAATATGATGAGTAGGCACAGTAAGAGATGGCAGACCTTTCAAACATGAATAGCACAAGGAGGAAGTAGATAGAGAGTGGAAAGCATTTTATTATATCTGTCTCAGTCTGGAGGCAAACAGATTGTTAGTTTATGATCTTTTTCCCCGTCAAAATGAAGCTGTGTACGATCCAAGGAATTGTAAACATTGCTTCTTTGGAAGACTTGTATCAGGAATGGCTTCTCTTATAATTTATTAGGGATTCGCATTTAAGTGCCAACAATACGCTGCACAAACAGAGATAGCTGAACTGTGTTTTCTGCCCCTAGACTTGAGCAAGCAATGTTGTATGGCAGGGGTTCTCAACCAGGGATACATATACCCCTGGGGGTACTTGGAGGTTGTCAACTGGGGGTACATGTACCCCTGCAAGTACTTGGACTGGTCCTGGGAGGGGATGGAGAGCCGCCGCCTCCCAGGAGCAGGGCTGAGGCAGGGCGCGGGCAGCAGTGTTCCTCTGCGGGGCAGGGAAGCTCTCGTGCGATGGCTGCTGCTGCTACCCATCAGCTCAGTGAGTGTCCCCACCCCACAGAGGGTTGCCGCTGCCCTCACCCCAGCCTGGCCCTGCTTCTGGGAGGCAGTGGCGCTCTGTACCCACCCTTGTGCCATCACACCACCCTGCTCTGTGTCTGGCCACGTGCCACCCGTGCTTGGTGTCTGGCTGTGTGCTAACTTCCCCCCCTACACCAGCTTGGCATCTGGCCGCATGACCCTCTCCCTCCCCCTGCTTGGCGTCTGGATGCCAGAGGTACTTAGGCTAAAAAAGGTTGCAAACATCTGCTGTATGGCAGTGTTTCTCAAACTGTGGGGTGTGTGAAAGAGGAGAGCTAGGGGAGGGCATGAGCAAGTCATGGTGGCAATAAGCAGTGTCCCCTTACTTCAACCACTCTCACATTCTTCTCCACTTCAGCCACTACCTCTGCTTCCCTCACTGCTTATATTATACTCCCCACCACTGATTGCTGGTAGCAGGGAAATCATTGGCAGGGGAGGAGTGCTAGCTAAAGTAGATGAATGTGAAATTCCATGACTTTACTACAGTGGAATAGAAGGTTTCCCGTAAGGTTTTTGAAATGCTACGGTATGGGATTCCTATTACTATTCTCTGCTGTCCCATGTCCTTTTACTTGGAAGAGAATAAATTACTTTACTTGGTTTTGTGGAACAGGTCACTTCCTGCCCCGCCCCTCTCACCCCGC